TTCCAGAGAACCCAATAGACATAGATCTCGAGCACAGTGGTCAAAAGCTCTATCCTGAGCTGCAGATGTTCCTACAAAGTAAAGCTGTTGGCCGACAGAACGGACGGAACTGTTCTTACAATGGGACTACAAGTATTGGCAATGAAGTCAGGTATGTAAACAAATGATTGCAGTATTTAATACCGATAGTCTCTACTTAAGGCCATGTTGATTTGATTATATGGTTGACATTCGGCCGCGCACGCATGAATTTTTAGGCCGTTTAAAAACGTTTTCAACCATACTGTAAATCGTAAAAAACAGTTGCAAAACTAGCAAATATATACCGTAAGTTCCAAAAAGAATATTTAAAAATGATACCAATGTCGTAGAATGCCAAAATCGAACAAAAAAGACGAAAATGTAAAGAAATGAACTTGAAGAGTTAGATGTCATTTGTTCGTGACCACGTAGATTTCATGATGAAAGCAAGGTTTTTTTTTGCAAACCTATATTTACTCGCAAGCTCGCATCAGTTTTGGGGTTCCTGGAGGTTGTCATCCATATAATCAAATCAACATGGCCTAAGTACCATCTGGCCAATGTGGCCACTTTTTTGGATACCTTAGATAGATCCCATTGACAAGCATTAAGGACGTATCTATGGTCGCCATATGTCTTCATGGACCGTACTACACATGACACATGGGACTACTCATTTGCCTTTTTTTTTCTAGAAACAGCACTTCGGTGTGCTTCTCCACAGTAGACCTACCCCAGGACGCTGACCAGGCTGCTGCAGTGATAGACTTCCTAAAACATACCCACTGGATCCTGCTGGTTTCAGACACACTCATCCTAAGGATCAACTTCTACCACCCTGACGTGAAGCTGTTCAGCACCGTGGACATCACCCTGCAGTACCTGCCAGGGGGCGCTGGGGAGATTCAGCCCACGATCCACACCTTCCGGCTGTTCCAGTACGAAACAGCACACGACTTCGTCCAGATGATTTTTCACATCGTCTTCGTTCTTGTCTACATCTACAACTTGTTTACCGAGATTTTCAACGTACAGAAGAGCGGCCGTCTTTACTTCTGCAGTTTTTGGAACATCCTGATGCTGTGCAACATCGGCATGTCCACAGCCGTCATTGTGACATTCGCGCTTCGGTACATCCAGACTGCTGCTGCTTTGGATGACATACAGCAGGCAAAAGGTTCGTGATGACCAACTGTCGTAACTGTCATCTATTTCGTAGCAAGCGTATTCACCAACGCGTTATCCATTTCAGATGATAGACATGCATTGGACTAAATAAAATGTTAAGAAGGACATAAAACCGAAAAGAGTATAAACAATTAAATGGTTAGCAGATCGTTTGTGGTTTCCCAACGGCAAAATAATTAGACTAAGAGATAGATCATAAGATAATGGGATCCAAGAAGACAACTTGCGAAAACAGCGTTTTCATATCTGAAAACCATAATAATGTTGTGTCAAATAGTGGTTACTGGTCAAAATTAGAGATTGTCATGACATTTCGGAATTTGTCACAGGACTTCTCGGCATCCATGAGTTTGTGGACATCAGCACCGCCAGCCAATGGGACGCAACCTTCAAGGTTGTCCTGTCCTTCTCCATCTTCCTCAGTACCGTCAGCATCCTGCGTGTTCTCAACTTCTCCAGAGGCGTGGCGACCGTCTACGCACTGCCTCGGGTACGTACAGCAATTCATGCATATTTCTAATTGCTTGTCACACCTAACCACTGCACAAAGTCATTTAAATGCGAACATCGTTTAACGCTATCAATTTCAGGTGGAAATATGCTGATCTCCAAGCAGATTCTGCATTCTACACTCGGCCAATATAGACTCCCCTTGCACCACAGAATCTGCTTGGAGATTAGCATATTTCCACCCGCATTGGCTAGCGTTAAACAACGTTTGCATCTAAATGACTTTGTGCAAGCTGATCTGTCACGCCCAAGGGCGGTCATACCGGCTATACGGATGTGAACGTTTGGTCTATTCTGTTTATCCCATACATGTAGCAGCGGCCAAAAAAGGAAGTGGTAGCTTACTGCCCGATGCGCCATCAGGCACGGGAGGAACTAAAGCTAAGGATAAGGCATACATGTAAAACAAAAATAAGTTGTTGTATTCTTCCCGTCTACCCTAGCTGATGTACGGGGAAGCCTTTGGGTTCTCCGTGCACATGCTGGTTGTTATAGTGGCCTACAGCTTCAGCGGGATCCTCATATTCGGCAAGAACATAGAGAGCTTCTCCGGCTTCAAGAAAACGTCGTACGTGCTGTTTGAGATGGGGCTGGGGAGGCCGTTCGTCGGTGTCTTTGCGGACGACATGAAAGAAGTGAATCGTGTCATGGGACCTCTGTACTACTCTACATTCGTCATCATCTTCATCTTTTATCTGGTCAGTCAAAAATCACGTATTTGCTTCCGTGTACGTACGTCGGTAATGTTTTCTCTGTGTGCTTGTGTGTGTGTTTGATGTTATGTTTTACAGAGCCCACATATGTTAATACCAATAACACTAAGACTCCAAGTGTGCCAGCTGTATAATAAAAATCCAATCCCATCCAATTCTATAGGAGCGAAACTAGTTAAATATCATATTTCTGTTTATGTGTTGTACTTGCGTATGTGCGTTTCTTTGTTTAATGTAAAGTTTTATGGATACCACCGACTTTGATTAATGGTTAATCTCTTACAGATGAACCTGGGAGTGGGGATGTTGTGTAACTGGCTGAGTTACTGTCAGACGTCTGACGACATTGATGTGGACGCCGCCATGGGAGATTACTTCTGGAACTCCTTCAGGAGTTTTCTGGGCATGCTTCATGAGTCCCAAGACGCAGACGGTAGATGTATTTGCTTGTCAGTCTTTGTTAGCTCCTGACTGTTTATATTTTTAAGGCACCAAATTAGTCTACTATCTACAAACTATACCATGTATAGGTTGCAAGTAGTCATTTATGGGATGCATTTAGGATTATAGCTATCAAATATTCCCACAATTCCTAACAAATATCCCCGTGATTGCTATTAAACATCCCTGCAATTGGTATCAAATATCCCTACAATTCGTATCAATATCCCTACAATTGCTATCAAATATTGCTATCAAATACCCCCAAATTGCTATGGAATATCCCCACACTTGTTATCAAGTCATTGATTAAGAAACTCTACCGTTGCCTGTTACAAAAATACATTGTATTACATAAGGCAAAACATAAACTAACACTTCAGTGCATTTTGTCGTTTCTGAAGATGAAGCACCACTTCCGGACCACTTTGTGAACGAGACCCTCCAGCGGACAGATGCGGTACTGCAGGAAGTTGACCTGCTGACTGACGTAATGTACCGGTTTGAGTGCAAAAAGCGAAGTCCCAAGTCAACAACGGCTTCATATGCTTAATATTTTACGAAGACATTTTAAGGTCATATTGAAGGGTGCCTGAGGACTTTTTGGAAATACTAATATAGAAAAAAAACTCTATCTGACATGGTAGACTTTTTGGTCTATTTTTATAATCTATAACATATTTTTTGCCAGGGCCACGTTTTGACCGCGAAATTGAACGACAAAGTTCGCAATTTTTACGCGCCATCTACCATCCGGGCTCCCATATATGGAGTGCTCTTCCAAATATGGAGTGCTCTTCCAAATAATGTGCACACCCCCCGGCCCCACTGAAGCGAAAGCACGATTCCGCTGGGCCACTTGAAGCAAGGAATGTGAACTGTCACAGTGTGTGTGAGCTTCAC